GGAGCGGCTGGTAGTTTCGAACCGCTGACCTTAAGGTTCGCAGCCCGATTCGTAACCACTACGCTACCAGAGCTCCTTAATTACAATAATGAGCAGCAGCTTTAACCCTTATTAACGTTCATCTGAAATGGTACCTGGAGTACCCTGCTACCTGGCCAGTGGGTTAAAGTTACAAAGAGACCATTGTTCAACCTTAATTTTTCTGGTTTAGCTGTAGTGTGGAGCTTGAAAAAGATCAAATTGAATTTAGTCCGGCGCTGTTTGACAGGGCCATTGAGTGTATTTATAGTGAATGTTATAATGCATAGGTTTGTGATTGGATTTATCAATGTATTCTGTTTTATTATACATTCTATCTTCTCCTGGGCTATTTTTAACATCATTCTACAGCTCAACCTTTTCTGTGGAGGTTGAATACTAATTTTCTATTAGGTTTTCACCAGGAAATTACGGTAGACTTTTAAGAAGAGATCACAGGGTTAAGATATTTTCTCTGCACCTTGGCAATATATATAAGCACAACTGTAGTTAAATGTCGACTCATAGCTCTCATAACGACCCTGTGTATAGTTTGCAAGGCTATAAATCTTTACAGGAACAGAAAATTCCTCCTTTCTCCTGATGAGTGGTTGTTGTTGTTGTTGTTGTTGCTATGTGCCATCGAGTCACTTCTGACCATAGTGACCCTGTATAGGGTTTCCGTGGAGCAGCTGGTGAGCGTGAACTACCAACCTTGTAGTTCAAATGGCTTTGCAGTCTGGCACATTAACCCACAGCACCACAACAATGGTTAGTGGGCTCAAATCACTGACCTTGAGGTTAGTAGTACAGTGCTTATCTTACAGAACACCCACCCTCCAAAGAGGACAATTGTTGCTTAGTGCCGAGGAGTCTGTTACGATTCATAGTGACCCTGTATAGGGTTTCTGAGGAGCAGCTGGTGAGTTTGAACTTTCGATTCAGACCAATCTTTCAGTCCAGTGCTTATCCTAAAGCGCCACACCAGGTCTCCAATAAAGACAACAGTATAACATTAATCTCCTAAACTTCTCTCAACCTGAAAAGAAAAACTCAGACATGAACTGAAAATATTTAAATATGTGTATTAAATATTAAAGATACATTAATAAGATATTAAAGCTACAAGACAGTTGTCTCCTTTTATCGGCTTCCAAAGGTAACCTTTATTCTGATGTCTCCAAGCATCGATCATTTTCAGTTCTTCTTTATTGTGAATAGATTCAATTAAGCAGCATGAGCTCTTTTGTATTTTGTTTTTAAATACCATTATTGCTTTGAATTTCTCTGTAATTCTGAGTACTTTTTTCTTTGATTACTGTGGTAAATATGTAAGTAACAAAAAACTGAACCATTTCAGTAATCTTCATATGCACATTCAGTCATGTTTTATAGCCATTACCTTAATCATTCCCCAGTTTTTCCATCCCCCTGAACAGAATCCCCTAAGCATTGGATCCTCTTTTCTTCCTGCTTCATGTATGCCCCTGCCACCCACCAATAAACTTTGATCTCTCTATAATTAATTATCTGCTCAAGATATTTCATGTAAAGCAGAATCCTCTGGTATTTGTCATTTTGTGACTGACTTCTTTCACTCTGCATAATGTTTTTTTGGTTTTTAAAAAATGTTTTATGTGAATTATGTGATAGTTTACAAGGGAGAACATTAGTTTTACATTCATCCTATTGTATATCGTTTCATTGCCATGGTTACAATCCCCTCCATGCATCGTCAGCCAACCAAAGGGTATACCCTACAAGCCTGCCCCCCCC